GGAGCAGCAGTCCAAGTGGGAAATGGACAAACTGTCCCAGTCTCATGCACAGGTGTGTCTCTTTTACACTCCCAAATTTCTCGTAGAGTTTTACTTCTCAAGAATATGTTATGTATGCCTCATATAGCAAAAAACTTACTAAGCATATCTCAAATTACTAAAGACAATGGTGAGATCATAGAATTTCACTCTGATCATTGTCTTGTAAAGGACAAATGGACTGAAGAGGTACTGCTTCAAGGAACCTTACAAGATGGATTGTACCAGCTGCAAGTTTCCTTGCCAATTGCTGCCTCCAACTCTAACTCCCCTGCATCTTGCTTTGTTGCTGATGTCTCCAACACTTTATCTAATGATAATAGCTTGAATAAAAATTCTGATTCTCAAGAAGAACAGTCTGATGTAAGTCTTAGTTTAGCAAAATTGTGGCATGCTCAGTTGGGGTATCCATAAGTGAAAACTTTTAAGAATGTGATGAATAAAGTGCATATCACTTGTTCATTTGCTAATAACATTTTTTGTGAATCTTGTCAATTTGGAAAATTATCTCAGACTTCCTTTCCCAAGTCTGCCTCTAGAACAATAAGACCTTTTGAATTGGTCTGAAGCCTTTAATGTTTTTACCTATTTCCTCTGCTTTTCGGAAAAACAATTAGATGCCAAGTTAAAGACTTTACAAACTAATTGGGGAAGTGAATTTAGATCCTTTACTGGGTATTTACAACAACATGGGATTAATTATAGACACCCTTGTCCCTATCTCCATCAACAAAATGGGAGAGTAGAAAGACGACATAGGATCATTACAGAATTTGGTCTAACATTATTGGCACATGCTGGTATGCCTTTATGCCTATGGTGGCAAGCTTTCAACACTGTTGTATATCTTGCAAACAAGCTTCCTTCTTCTGCCTTTGAAGATGTATCACAGTATCAGATGTTGTATAGAAAGACACCTGATTATAGTAAGCTGAAGGTCTTTGGATGCAACTGCTATCCCTTTATAAGACCTTACCAAAAATATAAATTGTCCTATCATTCAGAGCAGTGTGTTTTCATAGGATACAGTCTAGCACACAAAGGGTACAAATGCCTCTCCCCTACAGGGAAAATTTATATTGTCAAACAGGTAAAATTCAATGAAACAAGTTTTCCTTACAAACTTGGTTTTAACTGTTTTCTGTTTAAGGATTTGGATAGTACAAGACTGAGTTTATCCAATGTTGAAAGCTCTTCTTCCTCTTGGAATATGTCTCACTGCTTGGATCATCAAATAGAGCAGACTTTGAGGTTTAATACTCTTGAACAGCCTAGTGGTGTTACAATGAAAGATAATACTGCTAGTCAGCAACCAACTATACCATTTTCTTCTTCTGGCTTAACTCAACAGTCTAGTGGTGGTGTAATGAAGGATAATAATACTGGTCAGCAACCAACTGTGATAACCTCTTCTTCTAGTTTAATTCAGCAGCCTAGTGGTGGTATAATGAAGGATATTAATGATGGTCAGCAACCAGCTGTGACATTACGCTCTTTTGAATCCGAGAATGCTCCTTTAGGAATTCATCTAGAAGTGGTTTTACCCTTTCAAAAACACACTCTTAGCACCAATCATCATCCCATGATTACCAGATCAAAATCTCACTCACAACATCCCATAGGACAGGCTTATATCACCACTATTTCCATTCTTCCAGAGCCAAAATCTGTTGTAGAAGCTTTAGTTGTTCCAAAATGGAAAGCAGCCATGACAGAAGAGTTTGAGGCTCTCTTAAGAAACAAGACCTGGGAATTAGTCCCCTTCACCTCAGATATGAATGTTGTGGGCTGTAAGTGGGTTTTCAAGACTAAACTAAAAGCTGATGGGACCCTACAAAAATATAAAGCAAGATTTGTGGCCAAGGGGTTTCAACAAACTCCTAGTCTAGATTATTTTGACAGCTTCTCACTGGTGATTAAGCCTGCAACCATCAAAATTATGCTATCACTTGCAATGCATCACAAGTAGGAAATACAACAAATAGACATCAAGAATGCATTTCTGAATGGAGAACTTACAGAAATAGTGTTTATGCTTCAACCTGATGGCTTTACTGATCAGTCTAAACCCAAGCATGTGTGTAAACTTCACAAAGCTCTTTATGGACTAAAGCAAGCCCCAAGGGCTTGGTTTGATAAACTGAAAACAACCTTGGTTGAGTGAGGATTTCAAAGCAGTATTTCAGACACCAGTTTATTCTTTTTTTAAAAAGGCACTCAAGTGGTTTATCTCCTAGTTTATGTAGACGACATCCTTATAACAGTGAATGATCCTATCTTAATTGAGCATATTGTTACAGATTTAAACAACAAATTTGCTCTGAAGACTCTAGGTGCTCTTAATTACTTCTTGGGATTTGAGGTGCATAAGAACAACGTAGGACTTTTCCTTACTCAAGCAAAATATGCACAATACCTACTAAATGAGGCTGGTCTCTCAAAGTGCAAACCGTGTAACACTCCCATGGCAATTGGAACAAAGCTCATGAAAGAGGATAATGACTTTTTTTATCAGCCATCTCTATACCGAAGTTTGGTAGGAGGACTCCAATATCTAACATTATCAAGGCCTGACTTAGCCTTTACTGTTAATAGGCTAAGTCAGTTTCTTCAATACCCTACTACAAACCATTGGACTGCCTATAAAAGATCCTTTGTTACATCAAAGGAACAATCCAGCATGGCTTAGTGTTTAAACAAAACCAGCAGTTCAAGTTAGAAAGATATGCTGATGCATATTAGGCCAGTGATGGGAATGACAGAAGATCCACAACGGGTTACAGTATTTTTCTTGGGGGAAATCTTATTCAATGGTGCTCAAGGAAACAAAAAGTTGTTGCGTTGTCTTCTACAGAGGCAGAGTATATATCTCTTAGCCAGGCAGCAACAGAATTGGTTTGGGTTCAAAATTTATTTCAGGAACTTAGTCTACAACTCACCAACATTCCAATACTTTGGTGTGACAATATGAATGTTGGTGCACTATCCTCCAATCCTGTATTTCATGCCAGGACAAAGCACATTGAAATTGATGTGCATTATGTAAGGGAGTTGGCTGTTGAAAAAAGATTATGTGTTCAATATGTGTGTTCTGAATATCAAGTTGCTGATACTTTAACAAAAGCTCTTCCTGCTCATAGATTTCTGACTCTAAAAGACAAACTGAATATGGTATCATCCATACCTACAGAAGAACCTGCTGATGAACTTGTTACTTCAGCTGATTCTCAGAGTTGAATGTTTTTGCTTAGCTTTAGCTGAAAATTAAATTCTGGTTGATGAATGCTTATGCTTTGGTTGATGAGTGCTTATGATTTGTTTGTGCATAGGAGTGTTTTTAACTTCAGAAGGAGTTGTACAAAGTCAAATGAACCTGTTACTTCAACTGACTCTTAAAGTTGAATGCTTTTGCTTAGTTTCTGCTGAAACTTAAATTCTGGTGGATGAATGCTTATGCTTTGGTTGATGGATGCTTATGCTTTGGTTGATGAGTGCTTATGATTTGTTTGTGCATAAGAGTGTTTTTAACTTCAAAAGGAGTTGTACAAAGTCAGATGAACCTGTTACTTCAGCTGACTCTCAGAGTTGAATGTTTTTGCTTAGTTTCTGCTAAAACTTAAATTCTAGTGGATGAATGCTTCCTTATGATTTGTTTGTGCATAGGAGTGTTTTTAACTTCAAAAGGAGTTGTACAAAGTAAGGTGACCAGAATAAGGGAAGCTGCTATTGAAAAATCAGCAAATGATGCCAGTAAGGTAGTTTGGTTTACGGGAGAATATTGAGTAAAGAGAAAGGTGCAGAAAAGGCTTTGGAAAAAGGTGAAGAACTATTTTAGAAATGTGGTTTGGCTTACGGGAGGATATTGAGTAAAGAGAAAGGTACAGAAAAGGCTTTCTAAGTTTTCTTCTAATCTGTAGTTTACAGTTTATATTGATGTGTGAAAGTGTAATGTTTACAAGCTTATTACTGAGGATTAGTTTGTAATGTTTACAAATTATTGTAAATAAAAGTTTGTAATATGCATAAAACGCTACGTATTGTAAAAGTGGCTAGTATAAATTAGCTCACTGTTCTGCTACTCGATAGTTAGTAAAGTTGTTGAAGAATTCCAAAACTTTTCCCTTCTGAATCTTTACTTTCCTCTTCTTCTTTTCTTTAATTTTTCTTTACTTTGTGCTAAAATCTTCATATCTTCTTTGGTTGAACTTCAAGTCCTCACAGCAACATCATGTTAAAGAAGAGCTCCTCTCAAAATTCAACAATAAAGACAGGACAGCAGCTTACACATCAGCTTTCGTCACAAAAGAAACAGCATCCTAAAGATCTTACACTAGGATAAGTGAGCATGGTAATTCAAAGCCTACCAAAGCATTGTAAGAAACCTTAACCAAAATGAGAACCTCGAAGAATATTTAGAGAGGAAAACAAATGTCATCAGATTCCCTAAAGAGAACGCTAGAAATGAATGAATATATAGAGATCAATGTGTTAAGGGGGTTGGAGGACAAAAAAGCTAAATATTAACTTTTGTGTTTTTCTTTTTGCACAAGAAATTTGAGACCACAAACAAAAGCAATATTCTTTTTCTCACACAACGAATAAAAAGAGGACAAGTGAAAAAGTACAATACAAAATATCAACAAGGAATAATATTGTCCAAAAAGCAAAACAGGTGCATAAAGTGTGATGTAGGAAAAATATCTGTCATATGCATTGTGAGTACACAGCTGCTAAAGTGCTTACACTTGTGAATGTGTTCACCTTTAGCGAGTGTATCCACATTGGCAGAAGGGAAAAAATAGTGCAGGACTCAAAACAAGATCATAAGATGACAAAAACATTAACAACAATGAATAAGAACATTACACCTTAATCTGGTTTAGTATAAAATTTAATTATTTCAAAAAAAGTATAAATAAAATAAACAAATAATCGAATAAATCTATTGTAAGTAAAGCTGATATATTATTTTTTTAAATAGAGTCATGAGTGAAAAAAAAAAGGTTTACAAAGTTACATCAAATCCGAAATTGGCCTAAAACTGAAACAACGCGATCTTTTTATTCATGTCTTATACAGACAACTCCAATGAGCAAACATGCATAAATCTATTATGCAGATTCTCATTAGTTTCACTGAAGTTGAGGAGAACTCTGAGTCTTTGCCTGCGTAAGATGAGCATCAATATCTTTGCAGGCATGGACGACAGCCGGCAGAGTTGTTTCCGGATTTGGAATATTGGCATTCAGCTTCTCATATTCGAAACTCCAATGCACCAGGCTGCCTTCTTCCCTTGGAGTAACTTGAAGAATGAAACTGAAGCTCTTGTAGAATTCAAGGAGATCTCCTTCTATCGTTTTGTAAGTCGCTGACTTGTTTCTGTAATCGATTTCTTCAGTTATCATCTTAATCTTTTCAACTTTTCCATCTGTAACCACAAAATTACTTAAGAATAGATACTGACGTTCTGTTTGGTAAGATTTATTCTATTAAAGCTTATTAGAATAGAACTTACGAAAATTTAACTTTTATGAAAAATAAATTTTAATTATTTGGTTAAAAACATATGAAAAAAACATTTTAATATTCAAGAAATACATCTATTTATAAAATAGAATAGAGATATTTTGACATTTCAACACTTTAAATAAACTCAAAAATGGCTTATGAGCTTTTTGTGTAAGCAGTAAAATACTTATTGAAAATTTTATAAGCGCTTTCAAGATGCAACCAAACAATCTTAAATTTTTTTTAAGTGCTTATAACTTTAATTAAGTTTTTCTAATCAGTAATTAAATAAGCACAACCAAACTGACTTTAATTTGTTCAATTCGTACGATCTATCAAGATTTTATAAAAGAACTTATACGATCAAATTAATTCCGCTCACACAAAAACATGTGGAGGTTAATTTTGAAAATTATAATAAATCAATCAAGGTAAAAAAAAAGAAGGCATGGGATGAATTATTACCAATTAAATAGTTCCAGCAGAGAATGGAGCCCTTTTTGCCCCATTGACCTTTCTGCAAATCAACACTCTGAAGCATTTCAGGGCTGGATTTTGACATTTGGTAAGCTAAGCAAGTGTAGAATTCAAAGACTTTATCAGCAGGAGCCTTCATTTCAATTTCAGCTTCCATCTTTCCACAGAGAGACATTTTATTTTATTTTGTTTCTACCGGAGAGACAGGCAGTGGTTGAACTGTATGCCTTTGGACTTCAGTTTATATAGAAACTTTAACATTAATCAGAATACACCACGTCGAACGCCGAAAGGTCTTCGGTGTAATTTCACCTTCAAGATTATCTAATTGGAAAGTGGACGTTCTGAAAATGCCTAAAGGGAACATCACTATGTAAAGTTAAATTAAAATACAGGCCTGGAATTAAAAAGATTGTTTTAGGTATAAACCAGCTTAGTTATAAAGAAACCTGAAGTCCTTTGATAAGATTCTCAAGTCAATAACAACCAAATGTTATATAATTTTATCAACTTTTTGGGTTCTATAACTTCTTTTAATAAAAAAATGAAAAAAAAATTCTCAAACCACTATATTAAAGATCCTTCAAATTCTATATTGTGTGGTTCTTCTAAATTTCCAATGATTCACACCAATAGGGTCACGCCACAGAAGTACCTCCTCCTTTGTTCCCGCTCTTGTCGATTGATACTTTCCCGGGTCAGCCGTTCCTTGGTTGACGATTGAGTTGTTTTGAGTTCTTTTATTTTTTGAGTTTGCTTGTATTTACAATTGTTTGCTAAGTATTGTTTCTAACCCAGGGCATGTCCTGAGGTAGGATTTTTGTTTGGTTTGGTTCCTCTTGGCTTTGAGGTGTTGGCTCCTCTTGATTCCAATCTTTTGTTTTTGAAGATTGTAAAACAAAAAGAGTGAGTGTTGCTCGGCAGCCTTGGTTAAGATTGCTTTCATTATTTGTTTTCATTTATGGTAGGTTGGTCTGTTTTTATATAACCTCTTGTAAATTTTTTCCGTTTCTTATGAACACTTGCTAAAAAAAAAAAAAAAAAAAATTGTTTTGTGAATTTTCAATATTTATCAATTTTTAAAAATTCTTGAAATACCTCGTGAAATGGGTTTTCTCTTAAATGCCATTAAAAACCATTATCTTATAAAACTTAAGTTCAGTAATTAAACAAATATTAAAGTCGCAAACCAGATGAATATGTTCGTTTTCAATATATGAGTCAATGCTTATTAAGATATATAAAAGAATATATTTAATTAAATATAAAGCAAATGAGCATATATACTATGTGGAAATAAATAATGGAAAAATTGATAAAGCTATATATATATATATGTTAAGAGTAATGCTACAGTTACCGGATGCGTACCGATTTGTGTACCGAATAACATAGCGCAATCATGATCGTCGATTAATTATGAATTAATATTAATCGACGGTCAAGATTATATCACATCATTCAGTGCACATCCTTCGATAACTTTATTATTTTCCATATGTTAAACGAGGCTCAAATGTATTTCAACACAAGATCTGACATGCTTCTAGATAAAGGGCCTAAAACTAATAATATATTTGTTTATAATTTTTGAAAATCTGATTACAAGTATTAAGTGTTTACTTTTACAAATTTTAAATTCTAAAAATTAGTATTTTTATCTAAATATCGTTATCAAATGTTAAGTATGATATATATTTATAATTTTTATAACAAATCATAAATTTGATAAAATATAACAAAACATTTTGATTTTCTAAATAATTCAATTCTTAAGTTGTGTGTATCCATTATGTTTGCTACAATGATAGTAAAATAAGAATTTAAATAAAATAGGTTAATAGAGATTAAGGTTTTAAGGGGTATGATTGGAATTTAAAAATTAGAATAGTGATATTTTTGGAGAAGTTATTTAATACAAACAAATAAGTCTTTAGTCTTAAGTTAAAAGCCAAAATTTTTTACTTTTTTCTATTAAGAGGAATATAATTGATTCTCAATCTTAAATAATAAAATCAAATAACTAATAGATATCTAAATTTCACTTTTTATATGTAAAATAACTACCATTGGATAGCGAAGTGGTCAACTAAGACTCTTAGGTGTAACTCAAAAGGTTTTGAGTTTAATTCACCTTAGCTGCTACTAATAAAGGAGGTCATTATCTATCAATGTAATATTATTTAAGATTTAAGAATTGAGATATATAATAATGTTAATAAGCTTGAAAGGTGAAAGATCTATGTTTATTTAACGTCACAATGTAAATAATATGAATAAGCGTAGTGGAACTGTGAAAGGACGACTACCATGGGCTGCAGCCCAGTTAGCCTAATGGAAAAAAATTACTTCTCAATTTTTTTAAAAATAAAAATAAAAAGGAGAAATAATAAGATATTAATAATCAGTTTTTTCATTCATTTTTTTTTTCTATTTTTAGAAATATTATAAAAGTATTTTAATAATTTTATTTCATCATTTAAATTTTGTCCATATTGTTTAATGATTATAGTGATATAATTTATCGCATACAATACTATGTAGTTATCTTTATTCAGAAAATGAGAATTGAGTACAGTACTGTATTAATTATCTTTATTCAGAATGACAAATTTGACCTTAGTAGGTTAGTAAGTATTGTGTTAAATGTATTCAAATTAGTTTTAATTAATTTACGTTGTTGCGTTATTGCCGCATTTTTTAACCACTATCCTACCAAAAAGGGAACCGACTGGCCAGCCAAATAATATTTATTATATCATCCAACCATTTATTACATCATCCATGATCAATGGTAAGTGGATTTTTTTTTTTTTTTTTTTTTTGTGAAAAAAAAATCGCCTCTTGTATCATGAAAGTTCAGTTAATGTTATAATTATAGTGGCAGTAGTATAATAGACTAGAAAGACATAATTACGAAGAAAATAAAGATAAAATGGGACTGTATATTTCTTAAAATAAAATAGGGGGATGGGGACCCCCAAAAAAAAAAAAAAAGCTAAGGTGGTGGATGGACATTTTACAATAGTTAAATCTTCTTAACAAGCTATGCTCATTGCTGAAATAGATTCTATTTTCAGTTTTTGTTGGGAATCATCAGCGTAAATTAACTCAGAACAACATGGAACTCCAGATTAACATGCTATAATTGATAAAATTGAATTTGTTAGGATACCATATCGGGATCTCACACTCACCAAGTGTGGTTCTTAAGCCTAGGGCCCACCTTATTTATCAAACGCACCTTTTGGGTTGATCTTATTCCTTGGGCTTGAGTTCTAATATTAGTGCTTTCGTTGAGAATTAGGTTGCGAAAAGTGCTAACTATAGGCAAGATTAAGGTATAGTTTGCTTTCCTTGGGAGGGGTGTTACATTGAATAACTGATAAGTGAGTGAAACCGTCTAAAAGGTGAAAGAGCTAGCGTTGGGTTAGTGTCAATAAAGTAAAAGCTACAGTAGACGTCGACTCTTGAACGGGGTGCAATGTTAAGATCCCACGTCGGGATCTCACACCCACCAAGTGTGATACTTAAGCCTATGGGCTTTCCCATCTATCAAGTTGATCTTTTGGATTGTACTTTTCTTTGGGCTAAAGTTCTAACAGAATTGCTTACATCCAAGGGAAATTTGGAACTCCCAAATGCTTTTTATTTCTGTCTAATTTTAAATGACCAAAGTCTCATGCAAATTCACATTCTTAAGTACTGTTCTAGGGGAGTAATTCGACTTATGAAAGGGTCTGTTTGTGTAAAACTCAAATAATTTGTCAGCAGAGGAGTCTTTACCTCAACGTCAGCTACCAACTTTCCATAGCAAGACATTTTTTTTTTCTTTTTCTTTTTTCCTTTTACAGGGAATAGCTTTTTTTACTACCTTCTAACTTATGTTGTACAATATTCTGTACACTTTAATTATCTCGTTTTTCTGCTGCATGCCTAGCCATTGCTATCCTTTCTCCACCTGTTTCTTATTTCTTTTGTAAGCTTGACAGCTGCTAGCAAGGTGGCATTGTATTAGGGATTATGATCTCTAGGTGTCAAGTTTTAAATGGTTTGAACTTCGATCTTCTTATACAAAGAAGGGCTAAAAGTGTATTTTGGTTAGGAGCTCTTTATTGATTTTAATTAGTTTATTGGTTATTCAATTGTGGTGCCTAATAATATTCTATCTTACAGCTCTTGATATGTATATATCAGCTGCAGAGCTATTCCACATTTCCAAGCTCTGTTTATGAAAGAGAAGGTAACCGAAATTTACCTCAAATTTATTGGGATAGAGAAGGTCAGCAAAACTGGGACTTGTATATAATTTCTTTTAAACCTCTTCAAATATTTTCAAACATTTACGATTTATTCACTCATGTATTATTGGCTCATGCAAAAAAAAAATAGCTTTACATCTTCTCTAATAAATATATTATTGGTTGTATATTAATAAAAACACACTAATCAAAAATCTCCTAATTCAGAAGAATTTAATTATTTTTTCATATATGATCATCCATATTACGGAAAATGCATTTTTTTTTGTACCTAGTACAAGCAAAAGACTGCTGATACATATATCCAGGCTTTTTTTTTATGTCTTACATATACGCGTATATGTAGCTAGAGTACAACTTCAAGCATCGAATATTTTATTATCGTACCAAATTCTTAGTTATTGAGAACTTGAGGAGACTTTTGGATAAGGTGAGCATCAACATCTTTGCAGGAATCAGCATTGTTTTTGGGTCAGGAACATCCCCGTTCGGCTTCTCATATTCAACAATCCAGTGAACCAAGTTGCCCTCTTCCCTTGGAGCAACTTGAAGAATTATCTTGAAGCTCTTGTAAACTTCCAGCAGATTTCCTTTCAATCGTTGTATAAGTGATTGACTTGTTCTTGTTATCCATGTCTTCGACTTTCACCTTATTGTTTGCAGCTTTTTCATCTGTGTTCACACAAATGACAAAACCACTTAGTAATTCATTTTATTTTTAAATTTGATAAATAACTATAGTTAGTATCAATAAATATTAAAAGATATTTTTAACTATTTTGATTACAGAAAATTATATCTAAATTGATCTTTTATGTTACATGACACTAATAAACTCAGTGACGGAACAGGATCTTTTATCAGTGCGGGCAAGTGGAAAAATTTCAAATATTATCATTAATAAAAATTGACTATTGACTTTTTAATTCATTATA